TCAGTCGAAAATTTTTGCAAATTTTTTGGACACGTAACAAGTCCATAAAGTAAAAAGAAAATTTTCAATTTTTTCCAGCTTGTAGTTTTCTATATGTGAAAATTACCAAATAAACTAAAAAATATAGTAATCTTTTAAAGTAGAGATTTTAAGCTTTAAAACTCTTTTTTTTAATTTAAATTTCGTTCATTTTTAATAAAAATATTATATATCCAATTTTAAGCTAACAAAACCGGACGAACTTTTTTGTCAACCCAATATAAAAATAGTCATAGTCGTATATTACAGTATCCGATTAAAATTGCTATCTATATTAATTACCTATAAAGTAAAATCTCTCCCATGTCGTAAACTGCCTGACGGTATTGTTGAAATTCATCCATTTCTTGCAAGGAAGTGCCCATGGCGGTTTCTACGAATACATTTATTAACGTAAATATTTATTTGATTAATTTGTCAAACCTTTTTCATAAAATTATGTAAAAACATGCAAATTTAGAGTTAGATATAATTAATAAAAATATTTATAAATATAATTGATGATTACTTAATAGAATGCTAAGATAAAATTTCTATTTTATAGCTATATATAGGTGTATATATATATATATATTAATTTACCGCATATTGCATTCATTGTATGATGACTGACAAGGAACATTAAATCATTAACAGAACCATTAGTATCTTTCAAAAATTTCACCATATGATTTCCTTCGTCAATTAGAATTTCAACAAATTGTTTCAATATATTAAAATGAAATGTAGGTGTTAATATCTTTCGCCTTTTGTGCCATTTGATTCCTATAACAAAAATGAAATAGTAAATTTAGGTACGACAATTTGCAGCATCAAAATTTGCTTCGCATACTTCGTTCAGTTTTGTTTTATTCATATTATATTATATATTTATATTATATATTATATGTTATATTATATTATATTATATATTATAATATATTATATATTATATTTTTTTTTTATATTATATATAATATGTTATATTTAAATGTTTGATACAATAAATTAAATTTTTTTTTGTGTAACAGATTTTTAAAAGTTGTACGTATGCCATGCTTGTGTTTGTTTATCCAAAAATAATGATATTTAATTCAATCATATGATAATTTTTTATTTCTTAATAGTACAATAACACAATACTAAAGGGTTCTAAATAATATAAATTAAAAATTCATAAGTTATTACAAGAATACATATTATAAAATGACAGGATATTGAAGAGCCAACCGCAAATCTCATTACGTAAAACAATTTATAGAGGAAAGTCGCCGACATATATCTCCTAAAACGAAACTCCCTTATTTCTCAGAAACTAATTATTGCACTTTATTAATACTAATAATAACATGATTTGTTTAGTTAATTAAAAAGGTGTAAACGCATAATTCATATATTTGTGGCTTGTTTCTATATATAAAATCAGCTAAAAACGAATGCGAAAATAAAATTCTTACGGTTTTTTTTTGCAAATTGCGTAATTTAAATAATAGTGACTATATATTATTAATAATATTACGTCGTTTTAAATGTTTGTAGTTTCTTAAATCAGTTTTATTTATATTATTTTCTTTCTTAAGTTTTTTATATTACGGTTTTAAATATAAAATCGGGGTGCAGCGTAAAACGGCACACCTGTCTGTAAAACAAATCATGAGCTAATTTAATATTTGTAATGTTACTTTATAGTGTCAAATAACTCTATCGGAGCTGAAGGCAATGGTACATATATGGGAAAGCTCTTGAAAAACTATTGCGTTACATATTTGCATTTTCCAGAACAGCATAAAGTAAATACGCATATAATTTAACAAAAATGTTTTATATTGAAGTGAAAAGATTCTGGAAAATCTTATTGTATACATTCACTTATAGGTATTTCATACAGATAATCTCTGTAAAAGAAAAAAAATAGGAATATATGGAATTACTGCCTACTATGTCAGTTTTGGTACTCATTTTGTCGGATGCTCATTTTTACTTACCTTACGAAAAAAAATTAATTATTGCAAAATTACAAATTGTATTATAAAAATTGCTTATATTTTATATTAAAATATAATATAAAAATAAAAATCTAAGTAAAGGGCATATAAGAATCAATAATCAATAAATATAAAATATAGACATATAATAGTACAATTTTTCAATATTATTTCTCCAAATATCTTGATGGTATAACAATTAAATATCTCGATGATCTAAAAATAATTACATGTTTCGGCTTCTTAATCGAGCCATCTTCAGATTTACTATAATTGTAGTCGCAAACCACATCAGTAGACGAGTAAAAAGATAATAATGATAAATAATGATAATAATGATAAAAGATAAGATGTTTATATTATCTGATAGGAGACATTTTAGCTTATATTTATGTACTTAAAAAGTTCTACACGGAGAAAATTTTATATTAAGTTGTAATACACAATTTTAAATTACACTTTACTATGTCTTGTATTTTCGATGGACTCTCACATGA